CCGAGTGAGAGAGCTTGATAGCAAGTGTGAGATGGTTTGATAGCGAGTGTGAGAGGTTGATAGCAAGCGTGAGAGGGTTTGATTGCGAGTGTTAGAGTTTGATAGCGAGTATCAGAGTTTGATAGCAAGTGTGAGAGACTTTGATAGCGAGTTTGTGAGAGTTTGATAGTGTTTGTGGGAGAGTTTGATAGGGTATGACAGAGTTTGAATGTGAGTGTGAGAGGGTTTGATAGTGAGTGTGAGAGTTTGATAGTGTCAGACAGTTTGATAGTGTGTGTGTGAGAGATTTTGATAATGAGTGTGAGAGTTTGATAGTGTGAGAGAGTGTGAGAGAGTTTGATAGTGAGTGTCAGAGTGTTTGATAGTGGGTGTGAGAGAGTTTCTTAGTGTGAGATTTTGACAGCGAGTGTGAAAGTCTGATAGCGAGTGTGAGATAGTTTGATAGAGTGTGAGGGAGTTTGACAGAGTGTGAGAGAGTTTGATAGTCTGAGAGACTTTAATAGTGAATTTGATAGAGTGTGAGAGAGTTTGATAGTGAGTGTGAGAGAGTTTGATAGTGTGAGAGAGTTTGATAGTGAGTGTGAGAGAGTTTGATAGGGTATGACAGAGTTTGAAAGTGAGTGTGAGAGGGTTTGATAGTGAGTGTGAGAGGGTTTGATAGCGAGTGAGAGAGTTTGATAGTGTGTGTCAGAGAGTTTGATAGTGAGTGTAAGAGTTTGATAATGTGAGACAGTTTGATAGGGTGTGCCAGAGTTTGATAGTGAGTGTGTGAAAGTTTGATAGTGGGTGTGAGAGAATTTGATAGCGAGTTTGATAGTGAGTTTGATAGAGTGTGGGCGAGTTTGATATTGCATGTGAGAGAGTTTGATAATGAGTGAGAGCGAGTTTGATAGTGAGTGTGAGAGAGTTTGATATTGAGTGTCAGTGAGCATGAGTGTGAGAGAGTTTGATGGCAAGGTTGAGAGAGTTTGATCATGAGTGTGAGAGAGTTTGATAGTGCGTGTGAGAGAGTTTGATAATGAGTCTCAGAGGTTTTGATAATGAGTGTGAGCGAGTTTGATAGTGAGTGTGAGAGAGTTTGATAGCGAGTGTGACAGTTGGATAGTGTGAGAGAATTAAGTGTGAGAGTTTCATAATGTGTGAGAGCTTGATAGCAAGTCTGAGAGGGTTTGATAGCAAGTGAGAGAGCTTGATAGCAAGTGTGAGATTGTTTGATAGCGAGTGTGAGAGGTTGATAGCAAGCGTGAGAGGGTTTGATTGCGAGTGTTAGAGTTTGATAACGAGTATGAGAGTTTGATAGCAAGTGTGAGAGACTTTGATAGCGAGTTTGTGAGAGTTTGATTTTGTTTGTGAGGGAGTTTGATAGGGTATGACAGAGTTTGAAAGTGAGTGTGAGAGGGTTTGATAGTGAGTGTGAGAGTTTGATAGAGAGCAAGAGAGTTTGATAGTGTGTGTGAGAGGGTTTGATAGTGAGTGTGAGAGTTTGATAGTGTCAGACAGTTTGATAGTGTGTGTGAGAGATTTTGATAATGAGTGTTAGAGTTTGATAGTGGGTGTGGGAGAGTTTGATAGAGTGTGAGAGAGTTTGATAATGAGTGTGAGAGTGTTTGATCGTGGGTGTGAGAGAGTTTGATAGTGTGATATTTTGATAGCGAGTGCGAGAGTCTGATAGCGAGTGTAAGATAGTTTGATAGAGTGTGATGGAGTTTGACAGAGTGTGAGAGAGTTTGATAGTGAGTGTGAAAGAGTTTGATAGTGGGTGTGAGAGAGTTTGATAGTCTGAGAGACTTTAATAGTGAATTTGATAGAGGGTGAGAGAGTTTGATAGTGTGAGAGAGTTTGATAGTGAGTGTGTCAGAGTTTGATAATGAGTGAGAGCTTGATAGCAAGTGTGCGAGGGTTTGATAGTGAGTGTGAGAGTTTGATAGTGAGTGTGAGTTTGACAGCGAGTTTGATAATAAGTGTGAGAGGTTTATAGCAAGTGTGAGAGGGTTTGATTGCGAGTGTGAGGGAGTTTGATATTGAGTTTGAGTGTTTGGTAGAATGTGAGAGTTTGATGGCAAGTGTGAGAGAATTTGATAGGGTGTGAGAGTGTTTGATAGTGTGTATGAGAGATTTTGATAATAAGTGAGAGTTTGATAGTGTGACAGAGTTTGATAGCAAGTCTGAGTGTTTGATAGCGCGTTTGAGATAATTTGATAGTGTGAAAGAGTTTGATAGTGAGTGTGAGAGAGTTTGATAGTGAGTGTGAGAGTTTGATAATGAGTGAGAGCTTGATAGCAAATGTGACAGGGTTTGATATTGAGTGTGAGAGAGTTTGATACCGAGTGTCAGAGAGTTTGATAATGAGTGAGAGAGCTTAATAGCAAGTGTGAGATAATTTGATAGAGAGTGTGAGAGCTTAATAGCAAGTGTGAGAGAGTTTCATTGTGAATTTGAGAGATAAGTTAGAATTTGGCTTAAATTGCCTCTCATAAGTGTGTAAGACATTAAACTCAGTTTGTAAGATGTGTTCAGTCTGTAAGAAGTTAAACTCAGTGTGTAAGACGTGTCCAGTCTGTAAGAAGTTAAACTCAGTGTGTAAGATGTGTTCAGTCTGTACAAAGTTAATTTTGTTTGAAAATGTCGGGCAGAAGCGCTTCACCAAGCAGCGACGTCATCTTCAAATGTATGTTATTCTGATTTTCTGTGGTATTTATCTGTTTTCTAGTCATAAATGTGCACAAATAGCCTATAGTTTGCAATTTATCTCCGTCAGTGACCATTTCACAGTTTTTGAACCCCAATCCATTAGCATGCATGCTAGCGGATTTTGAAGCTTTAGGCTTGTTTTAGCCAGTTAGCTAACAAACTTGCTGGCTAATGACCAAGTAGCTTAACTGGCGGCAGGTTTCGTCAAACGTTAACTAATGATGAGGTATCGCGATCTAGTCATTGATCTGGTTGTTTGTGTTTTGATTGATTTGGCAGAGTAATGAGGGTTAAATGGTGCTTTTCAGTAAATTGCTAACGGTTAGATGGCTAGCCAATTTGTTGTCCATGTTTGTGTACACAAGTTGTTTCCCCCTTTTCAGCGACCAGATCAGCGCTCGAAGCCTTCATAAAGGTTCATATAGACAGAGAAGCTGTGTATTGGGGAGAAAAACTCTGCTTTGTCAGCTAGGAAGTGAGAAAGTTAGGGTGTTCATTCACCAGTTAAATCAGGGGTTTTCAAATCTTATTTACAAAGGCTGTAGCTGCAGGTATTCATTGGAAACACGCAGAAACTCCCCTGATACCTCTTAATCCGGAAAACAATTAATCATGAAAATCTGCAGCCACACTCTAAGGATACGATTAGACACCAATGAGTTAGTCATGCAGACTCAGTTATAGTACAAAATGTAACATTAGCTATTCATAACTTAAAACCAAGTAGAAATAATTTGCTTGTGTGGTTAAGCTCTTTCCTATTCTGGTTAGAATTTAAGTTGAATAATGTTGGATATTTTAATCTCTTTACTTATTCTCTAAAATAAGGGAAAAAAAATTGATTTTGTTTGCTTGTTAATAGGACTATCTTTTGGAATTGGGGCTACAGAAAAAGGTGGCACAACCTAAAGAAGAAATACAAGGTAAGTTCCAAGAGTCAGTACTGTAATTAAAAACTGAAAAAATGAATTTCTCTTTTAAACCGTGCATTTTAAACATAATTTAAATACTTTAAGATGCTTGAGTATAATACAGCTAGGAAAAAGAAAGCAAACTGAAGTTAGATTACAGGTTTGCATTTATTTTAGGAACTGAATTCTTCACCATCCAGGAGTGGGAATGACAAACATCATCAGGGATCATACTCAAATAACACCTGCTCTGTGGGGGTCCTATGGGAGTCCTGACCATTGAAGATCAGGGTGACAAAGTATGTAGAGAAACGGATGGACTACAGTGTGTAACTGCAGAACTACAGAGTGAAACTATATGGTCAGTGGAGCTGATAAAATGGACAAAGAATGAAGATACAAAGAGGCGGATTTAAGGAAGTGGCTGGTCCATGTGTATGTATATGAATATTTATGTAATTTCATTGTAAATTAATTATTTAAATAATTACTGTATCATTGTAGCTGTATAAATAGTTTTTTTTTCTAGTGAATGACTAACTGTATATTTATTTATTAATGTGTGTAGATGTGTATATCATTGTTCTGTTTGGTTAATGCATGTTATCATCTGCATTTGTGTGTGGTTTGTGTAGATTTTAATTTGATGTATGTATTATTGTGTATATCTTATTAAAATATTCAAAACAAATAAAACTGTATCTGTTTTTAAAAATCATTTTCTCAAACTGGCAGCTAGAAGATTAATGAAACTTGTATGATGTGGAGAAAGGGTTTACTGTTGACCCCCCTCCCCCTCAGAGTGCTTAGAGGAAAGTTTACATTTGTAAATTTTAACTGTTCAAGAGCAGCAAGTAGTGTTTGAATTCTTTAATTTCCACATTGACCACAACTATTGTCTATCTTGCTGTTTCATTTAAAATCGCTACATAAACCGCCAGAGCAGGATCCATGTTGGCTAAATATGATTCTGATGGCTGAGGTAAGTAAACGCTGGTCTCGTGCAGTGGGCGGGAACAAGCAGTGACGTCACTGCTGTCTAACTAGACCATCTCATTTATTTGTCTTATAAGGATAGATGACGGTTGGAATGCTGCCTACTTAGACAGCTGCCTATGTAGACAGCGGCTACTTAGAGAGCTCACTAGGTTTTGAGACATACCCAGTGTGTAAGATGTGTTCAGTCTGTAAGAAGTTAAATTTAGTGTGTAAGATGTGTTCAGTCTGTAAGAAGTTAAACTTAGTGTGTAAGATGTGTTCATTCTGTATGAAGTTAAACTTAGTGTGTAAGATGTGTTCAGTCGCAAATCAAAAACAAACACATATACAGTAAAACATTACAGTCAATAATGTGGACAATTACTGTCTGTGTACAGAGATAGTAAGTCAGTAACTCACTGTAGTTTCTCCAGTTTACAGTGTGGATCCTCCAGTAGATCAGACAGCAGCTTAACTCCGGACTCTCGTGGGTGATTATAAGTCAGATCCAGTTCTCTCAGGTGGGAGGGGTTTGATTTCAGAGCTGAAGCCAGAGAAGAACAGCCGTCATCTGTAACCATACAGCCACACAATCTGCAGAAAGGAAAGAAAAAGAGGGACAGATGGCATTTACATACAGCAAAACCCAGCTGCAGTATAGAATTGGCCTCCAGCCACTTCATAACAAACAATTGATGGAGACAATGAGTGAAAGTTTAAGTAAAAATCATGTTTTTATTTTCAAACTAATCAATTTAAAAATGGGTTGCAAACCACAAAGATAGCCCTACTGAAGCCCACTCGCTGGGCTCCTGACAGCATTAGCCCCAAAATGGCCAGAAAATGAACCTGCAGTAAAGAAACAGAGAAAACTGACTCCAGCTCTCTACTTTGGAAAGCCTTTAAAGTAAAAACCTGTGTCTCAGTAGCCAATTAGGTCAAAGCTCCCCCTCTCAATTCCCCCGCAGCCCACAGGGTCATCACACCCTCTCCCTAACATAACATAACCCCACATAAAAAATAAAATTTATATACCACCACCCACTAAATACAGGACAGAACACCAATTAACAGGTATAAAGATTAAGAGACTCGTATCTGTGACAATGTATCCACTATCACATTGTCAGTAGCTTTGACAAATATCAAGAACATAAGGCTACAAGAAAAGGCACCAGCTCATCACAAACCTGAGACAAGGAGGAGTGGGTGTTACCAGTAAAGTTGGTGACACATCACACTATGCACACCCCCCAGCCAGGTCATTTCCCAAAATTACTGAAGCCCCATCCACAGGGAGCCCAGGGCAAACCTCTAACACGACCTCAAGTTTAATGTGGTCTGCAAAATGAGAAACTCTATGCAGTGGAACCAAAAAATAGCTAAACAACAAAAAGAGGGATACAAAAGTGATAGAAAAGACGTCAAACATGTTTGTGAAAGTCTCTCGGTACCTGACACTCATAAGAGACAACTAACTAAGTAGACCTTGATCTTCAAACAGTTACTAGTGGCAAATATTTATGCATAGAAGGCCATTAGTGCAAAAAAATGAAAGTAAATAAATAAATAAAAAAATAACAGTCCACACTCAGCACTTTGGATGTGCCCCTGAGTAAACTGCTTCATGTATGATTATCATTCAAAAATAACAAACTAAAACAAAAAAGGGCTGACATGACCAAATGGACATGCCACTGTACCAACCAAGGGAGAAGGCTTCCAATACACAAAATATGAATGAAACTGACACCAAAACAAAGCCAAACTAATTATTTGCTAACAGGAAATATTTTCAATTTAACCTTACCACACTCACCCCCTCTCCTAAAATGCAGGAAGTATATTAGTCAGGAAAAAGTGCAGCCAAAAACAAAAAAGTCCCCACATTGTTACAGACTAGCTTCCAGCCAATACATAACAAACAGTTGAGGGAGATGATGAGGCTCCAGCTCTGCACATTGGAAAGCCTTTTAAAGAGACCCAAACACTTGCACACCGGCGTGTCTCAGTAGCCATGTAGGTCCAAGCTCCAGGTCCCAATTTCAACTGCAACACATTCAGTGCAAAACAAACCAAACGGCCCGGAGCGTCGTCACAATACACATCAACACTCTGACAATGAACAAGACGGAACAAAAACACAAACTGACTCAACATCTTCACACAACTAATTACAACATGATAAAAATTTCATTATGATTCAGAGCTCCAGGAGATATGATTAGCAAGAGATTGTGAAGAACCAAGACTCCAAAGCAGAAACTATTTTCCTTCTGGAAGCATCACAGAGTTAATATATAGATAAATAGGCATCCAGGAAATTACACAAACACCATTAAAGTAAACCAAAGGAATAAGTGGCTATAATTAAATGTGATTACATTACTTATTACCACCTGAAAAAGTGATCTCAGTAGACTTTACTTGTATGTTACTCTGTAACCTATTTCTGCTCCTCCCTCTAGTTCACCCCGTGTCATGACTTTCAAACCCATAGTTCCACAGTTCACATCTACCTCAGAGTGACAAAGTTTGTTTTTTGCAGTGATTTAAGTTTGTTCCTTTCCCTTCTCTAATTTTCTCTGTTAGTTTAACCATTTCTTGAGTTCAGCTCTGCACTTGAGTTTGTGTTTGACTACAGTAGGTGATGTGCCTTGTTGTATATTGGTCTCTAGTATTAGAGGCCTAAGTTTGATTCTTGCACAGAGCCAGTCAGGACCACTACAGGAGCTCACTCTGCTGGCCTGAGCACTGAGACATTTAGCTTAAATAAAGTTCAAACCCTGTTCAAATTCAAACACTGTATTTTCATTACAATCTTTCATATTTTTCTTCTCCTTCTTATTTAATGTCCCATAAACATCCCAACTCTATCTTCAGCCCAGGTGATTGAGAGGAAAGAGAACATTGTTGTTTTCCTCTGATTTTGCATATTTGTCACACTAAATGGATTAGGATACTCATATTAAATGTAATATGTAAGACAAGGAGAACTTAAGGAAAAAGAAAAAAAATCAAAAGATCATTTAAAAAATTAACTGTCCCATAAACTTAATTAACTGGTTGTGCCACCTTTTGCAAGAACAACTGTAACCAAACACTCAAGTCATTTGTTCCACTCTTTTTTGCTTTAACTCAGCCAAGGCTCTTGAGCATGAGGTGTCACAGCATGTCAATGAGTTTAAGTCAGGACTTTGACTAGGCCACTGGATAACTTTAATCTTGTTTGAGCAATCCGAAGATAGACTTAATCTTGTGCTTGTGATTGTGATTGTTGTCTAGCTGTATAACTCAATTATGCTTGAGCTTCAGTTCATGATTGGTGACTAAACATTCTCCTGCAGGATTTTGTAGTAAATAGCAGAATTCATGGTTCCGTCAATTATGGCAAGTCACAAGCAGCAAAGCACCCCCACACCATCACACTACCACCTCCATGTTTCACAGTTGGTATGATGTTCTTATTGTGGAATGCTGACTTCGCTTTACACCAGATGTAATGGCGCCCCTGTTTTCCAAAATATTCCACTTTTGACTCATTAATCCACAGAACACTATTTCAAAAGGCTTGAGGGTCATCAAGGCGTTTTTTGCAAATGTGACACAAGCCTGTATGGTCCTCTTGGTTAGCCATTATCTAAGACAAGTGAGGCCTGCAGTTTCTTAGATGTTTATCTGGATTCTTTTGTGACTTCCTGGATGAGTTGTCATTTGGAGGAATTGGGGTAGCCAGAGCACTTTCTAAGAAGACTGACCACAGTTCAAAGTTTTCTCTATTTGGAGATAATGGCTCTCACTTTAGTTCACTGGAGTCCCAGTACCTTAGATATGGCTTTGTAACCAGACTGATTTCACATCTTTTCTGAAATTTCTTTTGATCATTGCATAGTGTGCTGCTTCTTGAGATATTTTGGCCTACATAACATTGTTGAAGGAGTTATATTTAAGTGATGTTTAAATTCAACAGGGCTGGGGGTAATCAAGCCTGGGTGTGTCTATTTTAATTGATCCCAAATATCAAGTAAATATCATTAATTGACTTAATGAGTAACTCAGTGGGCAATTACTTTCTCACATAGAGCCAGTTGCTGTTGGATAACTGTTTCCCCTCAATAAATGAAATCACTTAAAATCAGAGTTTTACATGTAATCATGTTCCCCTTGTTTTATGTTATTTTTTGTGTGGTTATCTAAAACTGTTTAGTGTCAAATATTAAAAATTGAAGAAATCAGAAAATACTTTTCCACAGCACTGTACATATGTAAATGTTTTGTGTTGATATTATACTGACAGCCAATACATATTAAACTAATTGCTGAAACAGAGCTTTGGTGCAGCAAAGTAGTATATAGCAAATTGAATGAATGTACTTTAGAGATCCGCCCAGTATAAAACTGTGAAAACAGTGTTTCCCATAATGTTGAAAAGAAAGTAGCATGACTGCCTTTTTGAGTGTGCTGAATCTCAAACTGTGAATTATCAGATCAGTTCTTTATATCTTAGATCCTGTTAGCTTTTCAATAGAAATGTAATAAAATCTCCAAAATAGGGCAGCCACGTTAATGTAAGTTAAAACTAATTCCTAATTTACTTGTGGTTTGCTCATGTCTTTACAAAGCCTTCATGAATGAGGCCCATTTCTTTATTTAGATTAGAGCTGATCTATCTATATTTAATTTTTAGATTAAATATATTCAATTTCTGATCTTATTAGGACATTCTACTCCATTTGTACTTTGTATTATTCACATTGTGAAGCTGTGAGCATTTTAAATGTATGCTGTGTGCAACTATAATAAAGCAGAACATCAATGCAGAACAGTAATTAGTAGGCTAGTGAAATGGAGAACACATCACTGGGGCTCTCACAGGCCTTCAGCACCTCCACTGATTCTCAACAGTATTAGGATTTGGGTGAGGATTAGTATCAGGGTTACATTCATCCTCAGGGTGAGAGTTAGTTTTAGGCTTTGGGATGATATTAGGATTAGGGTTAGGGTCAGAGTTAGTTTTACATAGACTAAAATGAATTTAATAAATATTTAATTGAATGTAAATTAAATGAAAGATAAGCATCTACAAGTCATCTACAGTGGGATCTCCAAATAAAGTGTTACCTAATAATAAATTGAAATTGATAAGTAAAAGAACGAACATCATATCAACAGTTGCAGGCTGAGTGGAGATGGTTAGAGTTTAAAAGTTTTAAATGGTGGAGTGACACCAGCAAGCAGAGCTTTAGAGTTTTCTGTAATGTATTCCAGTTCATTGGTGCACTGAAGCTAAAAGCAGATTTTCTCAGCTCAGTACAAACTGTAAGAACATGACAGGTGATCACAAGAGCTGAATATTTTCTGCAATTCATGAGGAGCTGAATAAACCCTGTTACATGTAAATCATTTAGTACCCCCTGTGGCAGCCCATGAATAATGTTATTAGGCCAGGCCTGTTCATATTTTTTTGTGATCAATAATTTTTATTTGTATTTCATCTTTCCCATCAAGACATTTCAGTAAATCTATGTACATATCCAGGGTCTGCCCAAAAAAAGACTCACATCAGACTTGGTCTACCTTGATGAGTAGAGAAAGTACAGAATAGATGATCCATACATCCCTATCATAACTGACAGCCTACAGACATTGGAGCATTGGAGTATTCTCAAGCATCCCCACACCCACAAGTCTCCAAACATATGCCACACCCTACACCTTATAACTTACCAACTGCTGTCCCTTTGAGTCAATAGGTTTCTTCCATCAGTTACAGCACTGTTTCACTATACATGTGTGTTTATGTGTTTTTATATATAGTTGTAGCCATAGTCTGGGTTCACTATGGAGAAAAGTATATGTCCTTTCATGCTTTCTTCTATTCTCCAACATGTTCTCCTTTTCTTGCTGTATTTACAGTTGTATGTCTTTTTGTATTTGCTCCTCCTGTGGTGAGGACATTGCTTCTTTTAACCTTGACTCCTTCACCTTCCCTCCTAACTTTTGATCCTCCCTCCTTTCAACTTTTTCTCCTCCCTATTTGCTCCCTTCCCTGACCCTTAGTGTCTCTACTTAAACCACATCAGTCTGTGGGTTCATTAGACTGGTGACAGACTGATGATCAAGCTGTGTCTGTGCATGATTCTCTGCAAACATATGAATAAAACTCGAGATCTGAAGATCCAGTCTCCTGACTATTCCTGCTGAATTTCTAACACTAGGTGCTAAAGCTGCTAGTAACAGCACAGCAACAGTAGCACGCTGTGATGACGGCAAACTGAACCAGACGCTCGCAGCAGAGGCTTGAGAACAATGCTTTAATAGCTGTAGGGCAATCCAAACTCACAGTCGATGAACACAGGCAGAAGGTCGAAGGTCGACCACAGAAACAATACAGTACAAAAGAGCCAGACTTGAATTGTGGTCACAAACAAAACATGGGTCATACACAGAGAGACAGAAACTGGCACAAAGGAAACGCTCAGTATGCACAAGTGTGACAGTACTTGACCAGGTTTATATACTAAACTAATGAACACTTGTAACAAGCGACAGGTGTGAGTAATCAGTAGTCAGGCAAACCTGAACAGGGATGGGTGGATCTGAGAGAGTCCTGAGTCATGTGCTGCAGTGAGGGGTTCTGGGAAGCGTAGCCAAGAGAAGCCACTCCATGGTGTTGAGTGTTTTTTTTTTTTTGGAAAAACATGTGCAGGGTTTGTGGTATACAAAACTTCATCTGCTCAATATAAATTATCTCCCACTTTATGTGCGAATCATTTCCTTAGAAAATTAATTCTATCATTCTATCAATAGTGTCTTCAAATCTGTTTCCTCTAATTTCAAAACTAACATTATTACCAAACCATAGAGAAATTCCTTCTCCACTTTTAAACTGAAGTAGGTTTAAATAAGTTTCAGTGCCAAAACACTTCACTATACAATTAAATTTAGAGTTGTTTCATGTATTCTGTGATCATTAGTTAGCCTATCACAGTGTATGCTAAATATTAGCTATTACATTAATGTTTCTATATGTAATTGCAATTAGCTTAACAGTGTAAACAAAAAAAGTGACAACTAAATCTAAAAACTTAGTGTTCATCTTTATTGGTGGTTAGTCTAGTTTATTACAACAGACTCAAAGAAAGATTTCTGAATTGAATGAGAGAGAAAATGCCATGACAACTCACTACACATTCATTACAGGAATGAGAACAGAGAGAGATAATAGAAAAAATTATGTTCTTATTGATTTACCAGTTGATTGATTCTTTTTTTAACTGTTTTCATTCAAGAATTAATTCACAGAAAGCTCACCTGAGTGTCTCCAGTTTACAGTGTGAGTTCTTCAGTCCAGCAGAGAGCAGCTCCACTCCTGAATCCTGAAGGTCATTGTTACTCAGGTCTAGCTCTTTCAGAGATGAGTTACCAGATTGTAGAGCTGATGATAGACTCCCACAGGAATTTGTGGTGAGACCACACCCAGCTAGTCTGTAAAAGTCCAAATAAATATAGTACATGGTGTAATCAGGGGAACTGTAAAGGAATTACCTTACTCTCCATTTTCTACTTTCACTTTACTTTCAGGAATAAGTACACAAGATATTCATAACTTGATTATTCATCCATGTGATCCCATTCAAACAGAAAGGATAGCTACTGTTTTTCTAAGTAGAATCTACCTGTTAGCAGCATAAAACGCTAACTGGCTATTCAAAATTTGGCTATGAGTTTGTGAGAGTGACAAGAGAGTGGATTTTTGGTTTGCTGTTCCAACATAGACTGATTTCTTATTGCTTCCACACCTCTAAACTAAACAGTGAAGATAAACAGTGATACCAACTGCTGTCCCTTTGAGTCAGTAGTGTAACAATATCATTGTTAATGAACTGAGGTTTATGTTTCTGTACGGACCTATTAGAGTGTGACACACATACACAGTGAGTGCAGACTTGTAGAGAAGTAGTTAGAGACACACACGAGTATTCCAGTTATAATTCTTCCAAATAAAACTAAAGTAAGCAAAAGTAAGGCTTTAATCATCTATTCTGTTAATTGTGAATGTGCAAGAGAACAGAATGAAACATGGTGGCAGCGGTGTACAGGTAAATTAACAGAAGAGTGATACCCACTAGCTGACAAGCTAACACTGCTAGCAAACTCCACAGTGAGGAGAGAGAGTGCTACAACTGCTCAAGATGGAAGGTCTCGTTCCACCAAGCACTTTAAATCTGGATTCAGACAACTTGGCAAAGTCCTGGAAGGCATGGAAGGAGGAGTTCACGTTGTATTTTGAGCTTGCCATGCCAGACGCAGAGGAGACCATGAGAGTAAAACTTTTCTACTACTTAATAGGAGAAAAGGGCAGAGAGCTGTGTAATACACTGAGTGCAGATGACACAGGCAAAAACAACCGTGAGTAAACTGGTCAAACTGTTCGATGAGAACTGTAATCCAAAAGTCAATGAGACTGTGGAGAGATATAGATTCTTTGTGAGAAACCAAGGACAGGACAAATCCATTGACAAATATGTCACAGACTTGAGGGCGTTAGCCAGTACATGCAACTTTGGACAAATTAAAGAGTTACTAATACGGGACAGGATCGTGTGTGGAACAAATGATGCTGCTCTGAGAGAGAGAGAGATTACTTAGAGAAGATAAACTTACACTGGATAAATGTGTACAACTTTGTAGAGCTATGGAGCTGTCGAGAGAGAACAGAAGAACCCTGGAGGGAAGAACAGTAGAGGAGATGCATATGGTTAAAAAATATACATCGAAGGACAAAGATGATGACATTTCATGTAAATTCTCTGGGAAAAGGCACGAAAGAAATAAGAAAAAATGCCCAGCATTTGGAAAGAAATGCAAGAAATGTGGACAAAACAATCACTTTTCTGCTATGTGTAAGACCAGAGCTGAGATAAGTAAACAAAGGAAACCTGTACATACAGTAACAGAACTGGACAATGACACATATGAAGACATCCTAACAGTCACAGTGAGAGAGAATGCAGGCACAGTGCATCAGGTGAATGACAGTTCAAAGACAAAACAGCTTTACGCAGGAATGCTGATTGGTAAAGTGTTGGTGAAATTTCAAATAGACTGTGGAGCATCATGTAACATAATACCTGTACATCTCCTGAACCCTGACACGAAGTTAGAGCAGACAGACAAAGTGCTTGTGATGTATAACAAGACAAAACTGCATCCCATAAGCAAATGCAAAGTCAAGGTAAGAAACCCCAGAAACCAAAAACTGTACAGATTAGAGTTTCAGGTGGTGGACCAACAGAGTGGGATTCCCCTGTTAGGCAGAAAAGCAAGTGAAGCAATGAAACTGATCAGAGTACAGTATGAGAACATACTTGCTATAAATAGCATTGTGAAAAAAGTGGAGAGTGAGGGAGGACAGTGGACACTGGATGATATAATGATAGAATTCAGGGATGTGTTCACAGGAGATGGCTGTCTGGAAGGCGAATATGCCATTGAGATTGACAAGTCAGTGGAACTGGTCAAGCTCCCAAAACGCAGAGTACCAGTGGCTATGATGAAACCCCTAAAAGAAGAAATTGCAGACCTGGAGCAGCGATAGATCATGGCACCTGTTGAATGCAGTACAGACTGGATCAGTAGTATGGTGGCACTACAAAAACCATCAGGTAAATTGAGAATATGCATCGATCCAAAGCCTTTGAATAGAGCTCTCAAACGCAGACATTTTCCTTTTCCTACCATTGATGACATTTTACCAGACTTGTCAAATACCAAAGTCTTCACAGTCTGTGATGTCAAGCAAGGGTTTTGGCACGTGAAATTGGAAGACAAATCAAGCTATCTTACAACATTCTCCACACACTTTGGCAGATTTAGATGGCTGAGAATGCCCATGGGTATCAGCCCTGCACCAGAGGTCTTCCAGAGGAAGTTAATGCAGGCACTGGAGGGCCTGCCAGGCATTTATATCATTGCTGATGATGTTCTTGTTACAGGTGAAGGAGAAACTATGGAAAGTGCAGCCAAGGACCATGATGAGAAACTGAGACACTTTTTAGAGAGATGTCGTGAAAGGAATATCAAACTCAATGCTAACAAGTTCAACCTGAGAAAAGAGGAAGTTTCATACATTGGACATTTGCTGACATCAGAGGGATTGAAAATTGACCCAGAAAAGGTGCGAGCAGTCACAGAAATGCCAAGGCCAACAGATGTAAAAGGAGTACAACGTCTTGTAGGAATGGTGAACTATCTGTCCAAGTTTTATGCTCACCGATCTGATGATTGTGAAGTCTTGAGACAACTCACTCACAAAGATAGCAGGTGGGACTGGACTCCAATGCATGAGGAAACTTTCGTAAGGCTGAAAACTAATATTGCCAAGACACCAGTTTTGAAGTATTACAGCCCTAAAGAGGAGCTAACACTGCAATGTGAAGCATCGAAAACAGGATTAGGAGCTGCTCTTACACAAAATGGAAAGCCTGTAGCTTTCACAAGTAGAGCACTTATGGCAACTGAAAGAGGCTATGCCCAAATGAAGAAAGAGTGTCTTGCAATTGTCTTTGGAATGGAAAAGTTTCATCAATACACCTATGGTCATCAAGTGACAGTTCAGTGTGATCATAAGCCACTAGAAAACATAAGCCACTAGAAAACATTCTCAAAAAGCTGTTACTGAGCGCTCCAAAAAGACTTCAAAGAATGTTACTTAGATTACAGAAGTACAGTATTCATGTGATCTATGTGCCAGGCCGAGATATGCTGCTTGCTGATACTTTAAGTAGAGCGTACTTACCTGAGAGTACCACTGGCTCAGTTGAAGCAGAGATTGAAACTGCAAATATGGCACAGTATTTGCCAATCTCAACAGAGAGACTGAAAGTGATAAGCTTTGCAACAGAGACTGATGCAAATCTGCAGAAACTGATCCAGACAATTCAAACAGGATGGCCAGCGAACAAAAGGAATGCACCTGCTGAAGTAGCACACTACTACACCTTTCAAGAAGAACTGACCTATCAGGATGGGATAGTCTTTAGAGGAGAGTGAGCAGTCATTCCAGATGCAATCAGGGAAGACATTATGCATAGAATACACTCTTCACACCTAGGAGTAGAAGGATGTCTCAGACATGCAAGAGAGTGTGTATACTGGCCAGGGATGAGCAAACAAATCAAAACCTATGTAGCCAAGTGTGACTCATATAGGTCAATGGATATCCGCCAACAAAAAGAAACATTACATCCACATGATGTTCAGGACAGGCCATGGGCTAAAGTAAGGACCTATTTGTCTTTGAGAACAAAGATTATCTGGTAACTGTGGACTATTACTCCAATTTTTGGGAAGTGGATTACTTACCTGATACTACGTCCAACACAGTAATTAGGAAGCTAAAAGCTCACTTCACTAGTCATGGGATTCCGGATGTTGTATGTTCGGACAACGGACCCCAGTATATCTCTCAGGAATTCAAGCAGTTTAGCCTGAGGTGGGAGTTTGAGCACAGAACATCGTCACCTGGTTACCCCCAAAGCAATGGAAAACCAGAGTCTGCTGTTAAAATGGCTAAGAGGATATTGAAGAAAGCAAAAGCCTCAGGTCGAGACCCCTACCCCCTGGCTATACTGGACCACCAGAATACACCAAGCCAAGGTCTAAACGCAAGTCCAGCTCAAAGACTTTTTAGTAGGAGAACAAGGACTCTTCTACCAATCACTGACAGTCTTCTTAAGCCAGAGATACAACAGACCACACAAGGACTGAGAGACAACCAGCTACGACAGGCTAAATACTACAACCAAACAGCAAAGGATCTGTGTGCTCTGAAACAGGGAGAGAGAGTCCAGCCTTTTGAGCCACAGACAGTCTGGAGACTAGCAACAGTGATCAAACCAGTTGATCACCAATCCTATGAAATCAAATTGGAAAACGGCAGAGTTTTGTGGAGAGAGAACATGCCATGACAACTCACTACACATTCATTACAGGAATAAGGACAGAGAGACAGACAACAGAACAAGTGATGTTAACTTATTGATTTGCCAGTTAATTGGTTCTAACTTTTTTCCGACAGGACTGAATTCACAGAAAGCTCACCTGAGTGTCTCCAGTTTACAGAATGAACTCCTCAGTCCAGCAGAGAGCAGCTCCACACCTGAATCCTGAAGGTCATTGTTACTCAGGTCTAGCTTTTTCAGAGACGAGTTTTTGGCCTGTAGAGCTGATGATATATTTTCACAGGAATTTGTGGTGAGACCACACCCAGCTAGTCTGTAAAAGTCAGAATAAATATAGTACATGGTGTAATCAGGGGAACTGTAATAGAATTACCTTACTCTCCATTTTCTACTTTGACTTTTCTTTCATAAATAAGTGCAAAAGATATTCATAGCTTGATTATTCATCCATGTGATCCAATTTAAAACAGACAATACAGCTATAGTTTTTTCTCTCTAAGTAGAAGCTATCTGTTTATTAGCATAAAAAATTAAGTTCCACAACAATCCAGCCAATATCTGATACAGTTAAACTTAGAACAGATCTTGCAATATACTTAAAAAAATCATTTCTGAATAAATAAAGAGAAAAAGAATATCATGTTTTTTTCAGCAGCACATTATACTGTTTGTGTTTTAACATTTCAAGGATGGCTACAGAAAGAGATTCAGTACTATTCTAAACCCATGTGAAACAAATATTAAAATTACACATACATGTATTATTATAAAGATACATTTTATTATAGTTTGTAAATTTTTTTATTAAAATTGAATTTACACAAAGTTCACCTGAGTATCTCCAGTTTACAGTGTGAGTTCTTCAGTCCAGCAGACAGCAGCTCCACACCTGAATCCTGAAGGTCATTTTTACTCAGGTCTAGCTCTTTCAGAGATGAGTTAACAGATTGTAGAGCTGATGATAGATTCTCACAGGAATTTGTGGTGAGACCACACCCAGCTAGTCTGTAAAAGTCCAAATAAATATAGAACATGGCGTAATCAGGGAACTGTAATAGAATTACCTTACTCTCCATTTTCTACTTTGACTTTACTTTCAGGAATAAGTACACAAGATATTCAGAGCTTGATTATTCATCCATATGATCCCATTTAAAACAGACAATACAGCCATAGTTTTTTTCTCTAAGTAGAAGCTATCTGTTTAGTAGCATATAAAATGCTAACTTCCACAACAATCCAGCTAATATATGGTACAGTTAAACCTAGAACAAATTTTGCAATATACTAAAAGAAGCATTTCTGAGTAGATTAAGTGGAAAAAAAAAATCATCTTTTTTCAGCAGCACCTTATACTTTTAGAGTGTGTATATATTTCAAGGATGGCTAGAGAAAGAGTAAATAAATCCGAACATATTAATTCAGCTCTGCAGCCCTGCCACTGGCTGCCAAACAACCACACAGCATAAAAGATCCACCCCATACTTAACAGATGGCAAAAAGTTCACTTTCTTTCTTTCTTACTTTATTTATTTATTTATTTCCAAACATGAATTTGATGGTTGTAGCAAGTTCTATTACATTTTACATTTACAGTTATGTCTCTTTTACCCTCCTGATGACCCTTCCATGTATATGTTGTTTGTGCAACAACACTGTACAGAGGACTAGCATCACTATTTCTGTACCAGCCAAATTTTCCTGTAAGCCCTTGGCAGTGATTTAGGGCTTTTACTCTGCATAGCTGACTATTTTTCTTGGGCTTTCTGATCTTGTCTTGACTTTAACTGTTCTCTTTAATGTCTTTTCCTTAATGGCATTTCAGACAGTACAAATTGCAAACAGGAAATGTTTCATTATCTTTTACAATCTTCTCTTGCTGTGTATGATTCAATTATCTTTAGAGATTAAGATCCTCTGAGGTTTAAAGGGTTAGAGAATTTAGTATACAATGGAATTGTCTACACCACAGTAGAATCAAATGATCCCTTTACAAAAATTACAATAGTGGGTTCACTAAAAAGCCACATTTTTATTCTCAATATTTTGAGTTCAGCAAATAAAAGATAATTTAATATTAAATTGTAAGACAGTGTCAAAGATTTTCAACCCATATGTTGTAGTAAATTCTTTTCACTTAGATATGATCAGACTATGTTCTCATATACCTCATTATGTACCTATCAGAAGTATACTGATCAGATATTACCTAATTTAAGAGTTTAGTGTTAAACCAATAATCTATTTAGTAAATCAGTTGTGGAATCACCCCTCTCTGGAAGGATGTTGCAAATTTTTTCTAAAAAACCTCAAGCATATAGGACCTCTATTCCCAGAAAATCTAGGGAAAAAGTCTCAAATAGAAATATTACATAAAAACAAATAGAATGTTTGTGCGTCACAGCAACTTCACAATAACAGCCTTCAACATTGCACAGTTTGTTGATTTTTGAATTAAAAAAAACACATCTACAGCAAACTATTTAAAAAATATATTGCTAATGCACAGTTACTTTATATTTGAATAACGCTAAACATAGAAACAAGTAAATAGTAAATATGGAATGTTTAAAATTTGGATGCTATACTAAGTCAGTACTCAGTACCATCCCTTTTGGCAAATATCACAGTGTTTTTTGTCCAGTTAGGTGTCTTTCTGTTCATGTTTTAGGAACTTTCTTACAGGTTACTTCTAGTTCTGTGATATTCTTGATCCGTCTTTCATGCACTGCATGTTTTAAAACCTACCCACAGATTTTCAGTGATGTTTGAGTCAGGAATGTGAGGGCCATTCCAAAAGGTTCAGCTTCAGTTTGTTAAAGTAGTTCATGATGTGTTGTAAGGTATGTTTTGTGTCACTGTCCTGTTGTAGAAACCACCAGCCTCTTTTCAGCTTCCATTTCACAACTGACTCACATTTCCTACCAAAATGTACTGACATTCAATGGAATCCATTCTTCCATTGACTGTGCAATGTTTCCTGAGCCACTGGCTGCCATACAACCCCAAAGGATACTAGATCCTCCACTGTGACTAACAGTTAACATCATCAAATGCATCAAATGCTGCTTTATTTTTCTCAAAACATTTGATGATTGTAGCCAAAGTCGTTTTTTTTTATTTCACCAGTCCAGATATATATATATATATATATATATATATATATATATATATATATATATATATTAGCCCCCTTTTACCCTGTTCTTCAGTGGTCAGGACCCCCATGAACCCTAACAGAGCAGGTACTATTAGCGTGGTGGATCATTCTCAGCACTGCAGTAACTCTTATGTGGTGGTGTGTTCGTGTGTGTTGCGCTGATCCGAGTGGATCAGACACAGCAGTGCTGCTGGAGTTTTTAAACACTGTATCCACTCACTGCCCACTCTATTAGACACTCCTACCTTGTCAGTCCACCTTGTAGATGTAAAGTCATGATAGCTCATCTGCTGCTGCACAGTTTGTGTTGGTCATCCTCTAGTCCAGAGAAACTGTGCATTGGCAGACAAATAATATTTAAAAATTGATGATTGAGATTGTTTACTTCGTCTACTTCCAAAAAAGTTGTGACAGAATGCAAATGGAAGATCAAAAGAGAAAACGTTGATTTGTAAATTTCACTTTGACCTATATTCAAATAAAAGCAGTAAAAAGACAAGATATTTAGGATGTGTCTGAAAACCCAGTGATCTCCCTCCACAGACAGCATTTACATCATAATATGTGATCCTGACAACAAGGCTCTCAATTCATAGATAGCTCAAATATGCTGCCTACTGAGGTTTCTTATTTTGACCGAATATCGAGAAAGAATTTTCCACCATATCAGTGATCAGAGCCTTCAATGAAGGATCATAAATAGAGAAAGTGAAGCTGTTCACCAGGGAGAAAAACAAAAAAATCTGCTATGTCAGTTTGGAAGTAAGAAAGTCAGGGTGCTGGTTCACTGGTTAGATCAGGGGTGTCCAAACTTATCCACAAAGAGTGGCTGTAGCTGCAGGTTTTTATTGGAAACAAGCAGGAGCTCATCTGATTCCCCTTAATCAGGAAAAACAGGTAATCATGAAAACTTGGAGCCACACTCAAATACAAGGCAAGATCCAAGACAGAGCTGAAGATTAACAGTAGATTAGTAGATTAATTGAAAGATTAAGGATTTATCTATTTTTAACCTTTGAGTTTATTTTGAACATAAATGCCTTTGTTGTAAACACAGATCATTTAGCCTTACACATTCGCTGTAGTGGTAATGTACGTTCATCACCAGCTATCGTGTTAAGCAGACTATAACTTCCTCCACAGCTGGTAGCTTTATCAGAAACCTTCCACAATTATCAGCTTCTATCAGCTGTCCATCTAATCCTACCGAATTAGATATTATGACTGAGAGCATAGAGGCTACTTTTCATTCTACTCTAGATAATGTGGCTCCATTAAAAAATAAAATAATAAGGCAGAAGAAGCTGCACCGTGGTACAATGATCATACTCGAGCTTTGAAACAGACTGTCTAGAACTAGAAACTAGAGCGAAAATGGCACCTGACTAAACTAGAAGTGTTCCAGTCCACCTGGAGGGATTATAGCCTTATGGACTATAGAAGAGCACTTATTGCAGCCCGCTCAGCCTTTCTCTCCTGTCTCATAGAAAACAATAAGAATAATCCTAGATTATTATTTAGCACTATTTCTGAATTAACTAAGAACCAAATAGTTACTGAACGCCAGATGCCATCAGCCTACAGCAGCAATGATTTTATAAAATTTAAATAATCAAGGCAAAAAATTCAAAACGCACAGTTAAACTCTACAAACCTGCTGCCTTACAAAGCCAATGCAGATCTTGAGAATATTGTAAATACTGCAGAGAGACTGGAATCCTTTACCTTCAACAAACTGAGCTAGTTAAATGATCCCCTTCTCAAAATCTTCTGCTTGCTGTCACGCTTCCAGGTTCTCCTCCCTTGCCTAATACTCTCCAGGACTCCATTTCCCATGATTCCAATCCTGATGTCACTCCTTCCACCAATCACACACATCTTCCTCGTTCTCAGTCACCCGAGTATTAATGCAACTCACCTGTGTTTGTTTGCCTCAGACTTTAAAAGGACTCTGGTTTGTTCTCCTCATTGTGAGGTATTGCCCTTCACTGGACTACTGAGTGGTTTTCTACTGGTTTCCTGACTTGTGTATTGGACCCTTTGCCTGTTTTTTGGATATTGCGTTTTTGTGTTTACCCTTTTGCTCTGGTAGCTTGCGTATTTTGTATTTTCTGGTTTCTTGACTTTTTGCTAGGCTTTTGGTTTCTGATTTTGGATTTGCCCTGAAACTGTTTGACCATCTTTCTGTTCTCTCAGTAAATCACTTCATTTTTAAGATCCGCGAGCGTCTTTCTGTGCTTGTGCAGCATTACACTTGCATATTAGATCCAATACCTACAACTTTACTCAAAGGTTAGATTACAGTTTAGCATTTATTTTAGGAGCTGAAGTCTCCATCGTACAGAAGTGGGACTGACAACCATCACCAAGGATCACACTGCCTGCTGGTAGAGAGTTCTGTGCAAAGGACCCTGCACTGTTGCAGGAAAAGCCTATAAAAACATCCAAAACTTTGTCTGATGATCACATACAGCCTACAGCTGCACAGGTTCTCCAGGAGCTTTAATTCAAACACGGCAGCATCTATAGCACAAACTACACATCAGAAAGCTGCATGATTCCCCAGCCTCACAGAACCTTTTACATGCTTTGTAAATCATTTTTTGGATGCTGGGAGAATTCACCTCATTTCATGAGAAAGGGGTTAAAAAAATAGAGAAACAGATGAACGACAGTCTGTAACTGTGGAACTACACAGTGGACTAAATGAAGTAGCTAGATGATTAATGAACCATATATGATGTGGATAAATGGGTTTACTGTTGTTTTTTCTCCCCAAAGTGCTTAGAGGAAAGTTTACCTTTGTAAATTAGCATCACATAGCGCACGAATTATTAAATTTCAG